TTTCTTCGGAAAACATCTACAGGTTGTGTTCTTCTTTTGGTGTATGTAGATGACATTATTATCACAGGAACTGATTCTTCACTAATCACTTGCCTCCAACAGCAGCTTAAAGATTCTTTTCATATGACAGATCTTGGTACTCTTACTTATTTTTTGGGTTTGGAAGTTCATAATGTTGCTTCAGGTGTATTTCTAAACCAACACAAATATACTCAGGATCTGATTTCTTTGGCTAGTCTTCAAGATTCATCCTCCGTAGATACTCCACTGGAATTGAATGTGAAGTATCGATGTGGGGAAGGCGATCTTCTTCCTGATCCAACTATATTTCGACAATTAGTTGGGAGTCTAAATTACCTTACTATTACTCGGCCTGATATCTCTTTTGCAGTTCAACAAGTTAGTCAATTTATGCAAGCTCCCCGTCATCTCCACTTGGTGGCTGTTCGTCGCATCATTCGGTACCTTCTAGGAACATCTACTCGTGGATTGTTCTTTCCAAGTGGTTCTCCTATTCGTCTTAATGCTTTTAGTGATTCTGATTGGGCGGGATGTCCTGATACTCGTCGTTCAGTCTCTGGTTGGTGCATGTTTCTTGGAGAGTCATTGATATCTTGGAAGAGTAAAAAGCAAGATCGTGTGTCAAAATCTTCAACAGAGGCTGAATATCGATCCATGTCTACTGCTTGCTCCGAGGTTGTGATTACTTGCTGAGATTGGATTTCCCCAATCTCATCCTACTCCTCTCCACGCTGACAATACAAGTGCTATTCAGATTGCTACTAATCCAGTTTTTCATGAGAGGACCAAACACATCGAAGTGGATTGTCATTATATACGAGAAGCTGTAGATAAAGGAGTCATTACTCTTCCACATGTGTCCAGTGATCTTCAAATAGCTGATGCGTTTACAAAATCCATGGCACGGCAACGCCATCAGTTTCTAGTAGGCAAATTGATGCTTCTTGATCCACCAGCATCAATTTGAGGGGGGATGTTAGCATGATAGACAACTAAATGATTGTATATATTAATGTAATTATATAGTGATATAAATTAGCATGATCATATACATTTGTTGTAGAATCATATGAATAAATATTGTGATAGAATAGCTGATTTGGAGGGATAGCAAGGCAGATTTAGAGGGATTCAATGGCAGATTTGTATAGATAGAATAGATGATCTTTAGGGATAGGAATGGCGGATCTTTAGGGATGTGGAAAGACTCTCTCACTTTGAGAGACATTCAGCTGAAAATTGACACTCTGTACGTAGGATTTCTTGTGCCTGATCCTGCAAACTTCTTTAAGAGTCGCCTCTTCTCCAAAATCTTGAATCCTGGTGATGTGTTTGTGTTTCCAATAGGTCTTATTCACTTCTTGTATAATGTGGGACACAAAAAAGCTGTTGTTTTTGGCACTTACAACAGTCAAAATCCTGGACTTATCGCGATTCCTAGTTCAATCTTTGCTTCAGAACCGCCTATCATGGACGACATTCTTGCCAAAGGCTTCCAGCTGAATAAGACAGAGATTGCACAACTTGGAAAGAAATACTCTTAGGATATATATATTGTGTCATTAAAAATATGATTCTGTTACTTCTTATGAAAGGATTTGGAATAATACTTTACTAAATAACTTCTAAATAAAGTTGCAACCTATATAACTATATGATCTTTCTTGAGTAATAGATTTATTCCAGGAAGAATCGTGAATATACAATATGAAGCATATTATCTTACTCCCTCCATTTAAAAAAGAATAATCTATTTTCCTTATTAGTCCGTTTTAAAAAGAATGACGTCTTTTCTTTTTTTGACAACATTTTAATTTCAGCTTTCCACATAACATGTTCAAGACTACAAGATTAAATGACATTTTAATACATTTGATATAACTTTAATTAATTTAGGACGACAAGCTTAAAAGTTTTTTTTAGTTTTTAAAACTCCGTGTCAACTGCCATAGCCCGTGCCACACAAGCAATTCTTAAACAATATTGTACAAAATTGTCGAAATGTGATCAATTGAAGAAGAAAACTGTAAAGAGGTGAGAGTAGTTTTGGAAGCTTTATATGAAAGCATTGGAATAAAACTCCTCTAATAAATACTGTTCTTTGTATTTTTCCAATATTTGGAGTGAACTTGTTCATTCATGGAAGCTGACATTTTTGTATTTGGAGTGAATTTATAATACATTCATGGAAAACTGACATTTTCTCTAATTTTCTTTCTTCTCATACTAGCTGTTATTTGTTGAAAAGTGAAATTTTGTTAATGAACTTATGCTATATGTTTTTTATATATATATATATATATATATATATATAT